TGCTGCATGGATTGAATTTCTCCACAGTCGGGGGGGAAAGTGTCCTGTATCCACGCAGCCCCATTTTACTTGATTATTCTTCGGTCTTCCTGCTTTGCTTTGAAGTCTATGAAACGACTTCAAGATGGTCCAGCCAGAATCTTGTCCTGGTGGGAGACACTCTTGGGCATTCATCCCTTGGACAAGATGTATTGCTTTTGGTCTCCATAGGTTTAGCCTTGTCTCTTCCGGTTTAATATTTAGAGCTTAGGAGGTGCGCAGAAAGTTTAGCATATATAGCGGGGGAGTTGCTGTCCATGAAGTGGATGGGTGTGGCGTTTGCAAATCCACTGTTTGTAAATATTAACATGATCAAAGTCTTTGTTTCATTTCCTAGTCATGCACTGTGTTTACAGCTTTACAGAGGTGTGCAGAAAGTTTAGCATATATAGCGGGGAAGTTGCTGCCCATGAAGTGGATGGGCATGGTGTTTGCAAATCCGCTGTTTTAAAATATTAACATGATCAAAGTCTGTGTTTCATTTCCTAGTCATGCACTATATAGTGAAATGCAGTGATTAGTGGAATGCCTGTAGCGTCTGTTGGGAGTAGAAGAAATGTGTGTTAATACACATATTTTGAGTGATGAAGTTGATCCATAGCTTGAACTTCTTTGTTTTGGGAGAATAGTTTCAACCACAACTTGTTGCTTTAAAACATGTGTGTTTGTTTTTGGCTCTGTTTGTGAATCATAACAATTTGTGACTTAATAGTGTCTGTTCCTTTAGAATTGGCTATCAGAAGATAAGGAGAGGTGGCCTTGCCTTTTCCTTGATAGTATAAAATCTAAATTATAACAATTTGCAACTTAATAGTGTCTGCTCCTTTAGAATTGGCTATCAGAAGATAAGGAGAGGTGACCTTGCCTTTTCCTTGATAGTCTAAAATCTAAAACATAACACATCACTGAAAAGTGAGATAATGGAAGAGAGAGCGACCATCACTGTTGTTATATGAGATCTTTGTACTGAATTCAGATAATGAAGGGAAAACATGAGTGAGAGATCAAGGAAAGAAAGCTAGACAGTCTCAGGCTCGGCCTTGCTTGGAACCAAGTGCATTTGAGGGAACCTTCCTCACGTCGTAGCACTGCGGGTTAAACTGCTGAAGCCTCTGTGCTGCAGGGTCAGAAGACCAAGCAGTTGTAAGATCGAATCCACGCATCAGAGTGAGCTCTCGTCGCTTGTCCCAGCTCCTGCCAACCTAGCCATTTGAAAGCATGCAAAATGCGAGTAGATAAATAGGTACCACCACGGTGGGAAGGTAACAGCGTTCCATGTCTAGTTGCCTTGGCCATGTTACCACGGAAGATTGTCTTTGGACAAACGCTAGCTCTGTGGGTTGGAAACGGAGATGAGCACCACCCCCTAGAGTCGGACACGACTGGACAAATTGTCAAGGGGAACCTTTACCTTTACCTCCTCATGCAAAACAGATTGTGACTCTGAGCAGAAACTCTATCTTTGCATTTTTTGACTTCACAGTTCAGTACTGTCGAGCCTAGCAAAAGGAAATAAGGAAGTAGACCAACCCTTGACTGCCCGAACCAACTTTACCCCTTACCATCAGTCACCTGTTAATGAAAATGATTCCTCTGGAAGACAGCATGTGCTCAAATGCCTTAGAAGAATAGATGAGGCTTGCTATACCTGGATGACCAAATGAAAATCTCTTATGTCTAACGCTAGTCTCCTGAATCGCAGACCTTCCTTGGCTCCAGTAATAGAAATGACTGGAGCAGAATGGACGGTGATGTCATAGACCACTTGCTGAAACTTCTAGAACAAAGAGCATGAGCTAGAACGAGAACAAGCAAACCACCATGGGAGAGTTTGGGTTTGGGATCATTTAATCCATGGCTCTTTGCTTTGAGGTCAAGGCCATTATTCCATCTGGTTGAAAGCAAGAAAAAAGGAACAGCAACAGGTCTACACGCTAGCTAGACCATGTTGCATAAACCACAGCCCTGATGAAAATATTATCACTGCACGTGGTGGGATCAGACAAGGTAGCGTTCATGTTTCATTTATTCGTAGTTAGGCCCAGAAGGGAACAAGGCCCAAGTGGGAGATCAGGCTAGTCCCAAGCGGCAAGATCTGCTGCTCCTTCTGCTGCGTTAGGGCCTCAACACCTGATTGAACAGCCTATAGACAGACAGAGAAATGGATGGCCACCGGTCTTCTTTTGACCAGACAGTCCCTGGGAATGAGGAAATGCTTGATGCTCAGGAGCAGAAGAGTAGCAGTGCTAGCCCAGAAATGGAGAGAAAAGCGGGACGGAGGCCAGATGTGCTGAACCAATCTCTGCAGACAGACAGCAAAGTCAGCATTTTCCAGCGGAAACAACTGGTGGACCAAAGCTTGCAGACCGATGTTTCTGGCAGCACAAGAAACAGTGTGACATCTCTTGGGTCTCATGATAGCAGCCCTTGGCTCCCCGGCCAGGAATCCTGTCCCAGCAGGCAACAGTCGGTTGGCCATCCGTTCATTCAGAGTCAGAAGTCTTCTCGAGTGCAGTCTGAACAAAAGGTTGCTGTATCTGATTGGGCCGAAATGGAACAAACTGCAGGGCAAGACTCTGGCTTTGGGAATGACCAGGCGGAGAGCTGGGGATCTCGCCGGGTTAGTCGACAAGAAGAGAGACCGGAATCTCAGCAGCCTTGCCAGGAAGCCAGTGAGAGCAACTTCTTAGAATGTCAACAGACTTCCCAGGGACAAACTTTGAACAATAACAACACAATGAAGAAAGACTCTTGGTTCAATGATAGAACAGGCGTGTATGTGGTTTCTAGTGGTAATCAGACAAGTATTGTTTGGGGTCCAGAATCACTTGCAGAAATTCTCCTGCCTTTTAAAGAATCTGTGATAATCAAGCAGTTAGACAAGGAAACGCTTAAGGATGAAGACATGAAAATCTCTTCTGCAGATGCAGAAATGGAACAAGCTGTAGCCCAAGAATCTCATCACAGTGTTCACCAGCTGGAGGAGATGGAATCAAGGCGTTCTAGTCGCCAGCCCACGGCCCAAGAATCTCATCACAGTGTTCACCAGGCAGAGGAGATGGAATCAAGGCGTTGTAGTCGCCAGCCCACGGCCCAAGAATCTCATCACAGTGTTCACCAGCCAGAGGAGATGGAATCAAGGCGTTGTAGTCGCCAGCCCACAGCCCAAGAATCTCATCACAGTGTTTACCAGCCAGAGATGCAGGAATACAGGATAGGCACAGGGTCCCACCCAAGCATCCAACAACTAGAAGCAGAAAAAACTAGGTCAGACGAACAACGAGCAAGACGACGTAAGAAAACACACAAAATTAAAGTTGACCAGGCTCAACAGACAGACAGTGCAGACAGTCTGGCAAAAGAATTGTTTGAAAGAGGTGCACAGACAAGTATCACAAGTGCTGAAAAAATCAGTGCCACCACTGAATGGCAAGACTCCCGCCATGGCAGCCAGCAGCCTGACCTTCAAGAAGGAGACCAGAGCATGCATCCAGTTCAATTGCAAGAGCCCTGTGCTCTCAGCCAGCCACTAGAAGCACCTGAAAGCTGCAGAAGTAGCCTGCAGTATGAGCTGCGAGGCTCTCACCATGGAAGCGAGCTGCTTGGTGCTACAGAACACCACCGCAGCAGTCTTCCTACTCATTTACAAGATTCTTTCCATGATGGCTTGCAACAAGAAGTTCAAGAATTCCACCGGGGTAGCCTCCCGATAGAATTGGAGGATTCCCGCCGTGGGAGCAGGCAAGTTGATGCTCCAGAACCCCACCGAAGCAGTCTTCCAATTCAGTTACAAGATTCTTGCCATGACAGCATGCCGTGTGCAGCACAAGGATTCCCCAGGAGCAGCCTCCCTGCTGAATTGCAAGATTCCCACCGAGACAGCGAGCAGAGTCACTTTCAGCAACCTCACCGTGACAGTCTCCTACCCGGGAGACGAGAATCTGAACCTGCAGGTGAACAACTTGAAGCAAGACACAGCCAGAGTGGCCAGAAACCTCTGGGCACAGAATTCAGAATGGATGATGAGAAGGAGCCCCAGATGCCCATGTCTTTTGATAATGAGCCAGTGCTGCCCAAACAGAAAGCTTCATTTGGTCAGCAGACCTACAGCATCATTTCCATTGAAGGAACTACCTGGTTAAACCGAAGAAGTGGTACGCTAATGAGAAACCAGAGCCAACAGACCATGACTAGTTGGCTCCAGAATTATAGGGAGAAAAAACAGATGCTCTCTACTGAAAAATTGGAGTCAAAGAGTGGAGAACCTGAGGTTGAACGATCAACCTGCCCCCTAGATGAAAAAGAAGCAGCTGACCAGCCGCTCACAGAGCCCGAAGCTCAGAATGTCATCCAAGAGGCTGGAGCCCTGGAGTCCGAGACAGAGAGCAGGGGGCCTCTTCCAACCGAATCCCGGAGGGGTAGCGAACTGCGCTCCATGCCTGGGTCTAGGAGGGGCAGCGGAATGCCTTCTGAGGCTGATTCCCGAAGGGGCAGCAAACCATCCACGGTCCCTAATTCCCGGAAGGGCAGCAGATTGCCTGCTCTCCCCGAGACATGGAAGGACAGCGAACAGCCCGCTCTTCCTGAATCGCCTGAACGATACGTGTTTGAGTTGCCTGGATCCAGGAAGGCTAGTGAATCCCCGGCTGTACCACAGTCCCGGAAGGCCAGTGAACCGCCCATGACGCTTGAGTCCTGGAAAGCCGGAGAATGCCCAGACTTGCCTGAGCCCCATAGGACCAACGAACAACCTCTCGTAGATGAGGTCTGGGTGGCAAGTGAACTGCCCTCTGTGCCACAATCCCGGAAGGGCAGTGAACCACCCACTGTGCCCGAATCTCGAAAGGCCAGTATATTGCCTACTGTACCTGAATCCCGGAAGGCCAGTGAAACACCTGTTGTGCTGGAATCCCAAAAGGCCAGCGAACCATTCTTTGTGCCTGAATCTCGAAAGGCCAGTGTGTCACCAACTGTGCCACAGTCCCGGAAGGCCAGCGAACTGCCCTCTGAGCTTGAATCTTGCAAGGCCAGTGAATCACCTGCTCTGCCTGAATCTCAAAACGTGAGTCAATTGCCAAATGTGTCCGAATCCCGGAAAGCCAGCGAAGCATCCACCCTGCCCCAATCATCTATTGTGCCCGAATCCCGAAAGCTCAGTGAATCACCCACTGTGCCACAATCCAGGAAGGGCAGTGAAACGACCTCCATGCCACAATCCCGGAAAGGCAGTGAGCCACCCGCTGTGCCCGAATCTCGAAAGGCCAGCATATTGCCCACTGTGCCTGAATACCAAAGGGCCAGTGAATCATCCTTTGTGCTTGAATCCCAGAAGGTCAGCGAAACACCCATTGTACCTGAATCCCGAAAGGCTAGTGAATCACCCACTGTGCCACAATCCCGGAAGGGCAGTGAAACCTCCTCTGTGCCACAATCCCGGAAGGGCAGTGAAACCTCCTCTGTGCCACAATCCCGGAAGGGCAGTGAAACCTCCTCTGTGCCACAATCCCGGAAGGGCAGTGAAACCTCCTCTGTGCCACAATCCCGGAAGGGCAGTGAAACCTCCTCTGTGCCACAATCCCGGAAGGGCAGTGAAACCTCCTCTGTGCCACAATCCCGGAAGGGCAGTGAAACCTCCTCTGTGCCACAATCCCGGAAGGGCAGTGAAACCTCCTCTGTGCCACAATCCCGGAAGGGCAGTGAAACCTCCTCTGTGCCACAATCCCGGAAGGGCAGTGAAACCTCCTCTGTGCCACAATCCCGGAAGGGCAGTGAAACCTCCTCTGTGCCACAATCCCGGAAGGGCAGTGAAACCTCCTCTGTGCCACAATCCCGGAAGGGCAGTGAAACCTCCTCTGTGCCACAATCCCGGAAGGGCAGTGAAACCCCCTCTGTGTCACAATCCCGGAAGGGCAGTGAGCCACCTGCTGTGCCTGAATCTCGAAAGGCGAGCATATTGCCCACTGTGCCTGAATCCCAGAAGGCCAGCGAAACGCCCATTGTACCTGAATCCCGAAAGGCCAGTGAAGGACCCATTATGCCAGAATCACGAAAGGCCAGTGAACCATTCTTTGTGCCTGAATCTCGAAAGGGCAGTGAATCACCCATTGTGCCTGAATCTCGAATGGCCAGCATATTGACCATTGTGCCTGAATCCCGGAAGGCCAGTGAATCACCAGTTGTGCCAGAATCCCGAAAGGCTAGTGAATCACCCACTGTGCCACAATCCCGGAAGGGCAGTGAAACCTCCTCTGTACCACAATCCCGGAAGGGCAGTGAGCCACACGCTGTGCCTGAATCTCGAAAGACCAGCATATTGCCCACCGTGCCTGAATCCCAAAGGGCCAGTGAGTCATCCTTTGTGTTTGAATCCCAGAAGGCCAGCGAAGCACCCATTGTACCTGAATCCCGAAAGGCCAGTGAATCACCCATTGTGCCTGAATCCCGGAAGGCCAGTGAATCACCAATTGTGCCAGAATCCCGAAAGGCTAGTGAACCATTCTTTGTACCCGAATCTCGAAAGGCCAGTGAATCACCCACTGTGCCACAATCCCGGAAGGGCAGTGAACCACGCACTGTGCCCGAATCTCGAAAGGCCAGTATATTGCCTACTGTACCTGAATCCCGGAAATCCAGTGAAACACCTGTTGTGCTGGAATCACAAAAGGCCAGTGAACCATTCTTTGTGGCTGAATCTCGAAAGGCCAGTGAACCACCCACTGTGCCGCAGTCCCGGAAGGGCAGTGAAATCTCCTCTGTGCCACAATCCCGGAAGGGCAGTGAACCACGCACTGTGTCCGAATCTCGAAAGACCAGTATATTGCCTACTGTACCTGAATACCGAAAGGCTAGTGAATCACCCATTGTGCTGGAATCACAAAAGGCCAGTGAACCATTCTTTGTACATGAATCCCGAAAGGCCAGTGAATCACCCACTGTGCCACAATCCCGGAAGACCAGTGAACCGTCCTCTGTGCCTGAGTCCCAGAAGGTCAATGAACCATTCCCTGTGCCCGGATCCCAAAAGCCAAGTGAACCATCCTCTGTGCCTGAATCTCGGAAGGCCAGTGAACAAAGTTTTTTGAAACATGTATCTTCTTTTTCTGCGAAAGCTCAGCAGACGTACAGCATTATTTCTGTTGAGATAAATACCTGGATGAACAGAAGAACCGGCAAATTAATGACATCCAGTAGTCAACAAACTGAGAGGAGCTGGATGCAGGACTATATAGCAAAAAAATTAAAAGGTGTCGCTAAAGATAGTCTGACGGCAGCTGAACTTACCAGCCCTGAGAACGATGGAAAAGATGCTGCAGAACAACAGCACACTAGCAAGGGTGAAGTGGAAACTGAGGAGTCCTGGTGGGGCAGCCAACAAGCAGAGGTGCAGGAGAACCGGCGGGGAAGCCAACAGACGGAGGTGCTGGAGTCCCGGCGGGGCAGCCAACAGGCGGAGGTGCAGCAGTCCCGGCGGGGCAGCCAACAGGCGGAGGTGCAGGAGTCCCGGCGGAGCAGCCAACAGGCGGAGGGGCAGGAGTCCCGGCGGGGCAG